ACACAACGGAACTGGTCTCATGTCAATTCGATGCGCGAGTGCCATGATTCGCCTGCTCGAGCGAGGCTTATCGTTGCTGATTTTTTGTAACTTTCTTCACGGATCAATAATTTCTCTCTAGATTTTTTCCTTGTTCGAGTGTCGTTACAGTGCGTGCCACATATCGAAACGCTCGTACTGACAAGACGAACACGCTCACAAAGTTTGAGCACGATCTGTCTTGGGACGAATGAGATATGGACCCCGAAAGTCAATATTTGAGACTGCGCTATAATGGAGTTTAGTTGCAGGGCGGCCACACGGGAATAGTGTGTGGCTCCTCCTATTTCGATCTTTTACCGATAACTTCTTCTTGAAGTGTCCGTTTAAGCTGTACTTTGACCCCTGTGGTTTTTCAACCGTGTAGGATCCAATAGCGGCATTCCCACAACAATTTGATACTCTGAAAATCGAGTTCTAATTAATGGGTCCGTTTGAGGGTGCTAGAAATTTTTTCCGAAATTTGTTTCTTTGTCTGCACTGCCTTAAACATGTCAGATTGCGATGAAACTTGGTAGATGGCCTTTTGAAGTGCTTAAGAGGATTCTAATTTGTTCTGGAGAAATTCTGAGACTGTCGAAAATTCCACCGTATGCCTGGCTTTATTGACCGACTTCCTCTTTATTCTGCATCAGGGACCCAAGGTGCTGAAAAATGTCTTCAAATAGAGACCCATTCCCTTTTGATGGCCAAAATAAAAGGATAACAAGTCCTTGCTTAACATGTATATGAGATGATATGCCCTCGACGTTATCTTTTCCCTTTTAACATGTCTGAAGTTTCTTCTTTAGAAACGAATGTATAGGTTTCAAAATTAGAATCAAAGATGTTCAACTTATTTTAGTTCTTCAAATTTGATGTAAATGTAATAGAGGATTAAACCTTTGAAATTACTCAGTACCTAGTTTAAGTAATAAAGCATGTGTTTCGAATATGAAGTGTACGAGTGAATGTGATGTCCTATGATTTCCCATTTGGAATCTGATGTTTGTTTTAAAAATTCTCTATTTATTTTAACAAATACATATTTCAGAGCGATCAATCCCACAACTCAACCAATATCAATGATGCATATTCAATCAAGCTATGAAAAACCCTAAAAAGCCCTAAAATCCCTTGATGCACTATAAAAAGGGATGGCCCCTACCCACATTCTCTACACCAAAATCTCTTCTCTCTCTCTCAAAAGCTCACATATAGGGGCACACACCACATAGTAACTCTCTCTTTCTTATAGAAACTATTTCTCTCTTATGGTAAGAAAGGGGGCACGGCTCAACTCTCATAGAAACTCTCTCTCTCTCATGTTGAAGAAAAGTGCCACACCCCACTCATTGTAGTTTTGATGTCTCTCTCTCCCATTTTCTTGTGATATTGCCTAAAAGGTTAAGAGCGTAGTAAGGAGATCCATCTCTCTCAACTAGGTTATCATGCAGTTTTAGCTAAGTTTGAGATTTTTTATTGAAATGAGTTCCTCTTTCATTGGAGGGTTTGTCCTAATTGTTTTCCCCAGATTGAGCTTGAACGTTGACCATTGATCCCTCGCTATCGGAAGGTGGTGACTTGGTATGAGGTGTTAGAAACCTGGTTGAATTAATCTCTAGCACTCTTTTTATTGTTTCTTGTCATATTTATTTGTGTGTTTTATTATTCCCAGACATAGTTTGTGTCTTTCTTTGGTTATTAAAAGAAAGGTTTTAAGTGGCATCAACTTTTTAAGATCCTAAATTTGTTTTTCTATTTTCTTTTAAAGTTGATTTATTGTAAAAAGACTACTTGTGAGTGATCTAAGCCGTGAAGAAAAAGAAAAAAAATAAAAATAAAGAAGAAGAAAAGAATATATACTCCAACTAGATCACATAAAGTCCTTTCGGTTATGTGTAATCGACCCAGAGTGTGTGGTGGCGGCCATGTGGCCTCCATGCGGTCATGGTGGTGGCATTACCGACAATTGTACAGTTGCGTTTAAATTTGAATTTAACCCAAGGCTATAAAAACCCATTTCCGGACTCTTAGTGGAGAGTCCTTGGTTTTATACATTTTAAGTGTATAGTGGAATCCCAGCGGGCTACAACCCTTGATTATTGCTTGGTTGTGACCCTCATTTGTGATTGTGCTCCATTTCTCTTATGTATTCTGTAGAAGGCTGGCCTCACTTTGGTTGGGGTTAGAACTTAGGCTTGGAGCCGCACAAGGTAGGCATTGAGAATTTACCCCCTTGAGACTAGGTGGTGTTAGTCAAAGCCGTTGTTTCTATAAGAGTACAGATAAATGATATGGGATACAATAGGGCATTGCTGTTAGAGGGAAAGCCAGTGTTGATCACGTCTTATTGCACTTCCATCAAAATTTCTCTTTGTGTTCTCAAAGTAGTTTATTAATTTCTTGCTCACATACTATACACGCGTCTGTGACTTTGTTTTCACTGTCTTTTTAGTTGCATGGGGAACACCTCGGTTTATTAAATTCCACTAACGACAAATTATCAGCAATCGAAATCTTTAAAGTGATGCAAGGATGAAAATTACAATGCCTAACTTAAACTAAATTATTAATTAGAGGGCCTTGGATTTTTCTCTGTTTCACATCTTATCCTATAGTCCATCACACCTGGCTCAATTATTCTTATAATCCTCCAAAAGCATAAGAATTCGGTAAGTGAAGTGGACATTAGAGAAAATTCCTTTGGACCCGCAAATCAAACCGTTTGCATTAATTGTATGGGGATACATATTCATTAATGGAAAAAGCTAAAACAAGGTGTCCACCTTATACAATTGAAGTGAGCACACCTAAAAAAACCGTCACAAAAAAGTTGTTCCAATACTAGAAAACCCTCAATCTCGACCTCGAGATGTATAGATATGAAAAAAACGAAAGAATAAAAGATTTCAAGTCATGTTAATAGTACATCATATCTGTCAATTTTTAAAGTTTTATAAGTTTTCAAAGTCTTGGAGTCCAAAACCTAGGACTTTTGATGATTTATTTCAAGAAAAAGTACTTTATGATCTCCATGGGAACTCTCCTACAGTTTATTGTACATTTTTTCACCTCGAACATATAGCTGCCTTGTTCCCTCCTGTTAAGTCTCTCTTTGAAGTATTTTACCAATCTTCCCTGTTCAAAGGGCAAATGAGAAATGAACTCTACATGTTTGCTGGGATGGCTGTTCAATAGTTTCTAGCTTTTGAGCCAGTAAGACTATTCTCTCTCCATTCTTTTGCCTTTTGGGATTTGCACGTGGAACTGAAATATCATTAGTAGGAGAATTTGTATGACAATTATCATGGGTATCAATGTGTCTATGTTTCCCAAATGGGAGGAGTCCATCATATCACAACTTGTACATTATGTCCATGCTGCATGCTGTTCTCGACCCTGTTGTCGATGACGAACTGTGGAGATGCATTAATCCTCGGCTTGTCCATGCTAAGCCGCTAGTGGCACACTACTGTCCGTCGTTCGTCATGAAGGAATATGGCTGCATGAAGTTCACAAACAGTACACAGCATTTAAAAACATGTAGTTCTCGGCCATCTGTTCCCATTGACGTGGGGAGCATCTGCCATGTCCAGCCATTTTGGGTAATGGTTCATCTCCTCCGTCTATCAACTATCATCAAGGAATAAAGGCCATGTATTGCATGTATTACATAAACAATAGTCAAACACTTGGTACATGAAATTTTCCACTATTTGTTCTTAACGATGGACGGTGAAGATGACAACATGTAGTACATGAACAGAACACAACATGTAGCACAAGAACAGTAGAGTACATGTAGTATGGTATGAAAGAATTATGGAATAAAGGCCATGTCTCTCTAGCAATGGGGTCTTTGTTGTCGTTTGCGTTGGATTTAGTTGGAGGGAGAAATCAAAATAAGAGAAGGCATGTGAAGAGGGGTAGTTATCAAGCGCCAAGTGAGAGAGAAACCAAATGAATTTATGGGTTTGGATTTTTCATGGAATGGCATTTTATGAGCATGAAATGGACAACACACTGGCCGGCTACGGCAGGCACTTTTAACCTACTCTTTGCCTCGCCGCACACGAAAAACAGCCTCAACCCAACTCCCAACTCCATACCCTCCAATTTCTAGTGACCATCTATATCAAACAACCAAGAGCTTTCCAGCAAATTTCATTGATACCCTCATCTTCCTTCCTTTTTTTTTTTTTTTTTTTTTGTTACTTTTTTTATTTGTTTTTATTTTTCAACTTGTGTTTCTAATATTACAGTCGAATCTCTTTAAGGGTGAAGGTTTCCATCACATTAATTCAATTGCACACCAACCTTGGTTCATAAGGAAAATTTTCAATTTTCATGAAAATATATCATCTATCTATTTTAGTTGTAATTCTTCAATACAATGAGAGTCAGGTGGTGTTTCTTGTAGTTAGGGGAAGAACATATGCAAATATTTGTGTTTCCATCATGCCTTCAACTTTTTCAAAACGACTTTCTCCTACCAAAATATAACAACATGGTTAAGCAACTCAGAGGAAGAGAAAATAGATAATAATAATAAAAAAAAAGATAAAATGTCTCACTTTTGGCGGGGTTAGACCCTGTGAGGTATGATGATTATCATCAGAAATTTTTTTCAAACTATTTGGAGCAGCCTAAACGAATTCTGGTTCGTCATTCTACTGTATCAAAGGCTAAATTTGAATGAGCCCATGAGTCCCCATATATTTTCTTACTAATTCCAACCATATTCTTTTTAGCCTACTCTTACTTTTTTTACCCTTTTGTACATTGTGAAGTACGATATTGATTCCAAATACACTCTGGCACTCTTGTTTCTTAGCGATTTTATATGAGGTTTTTTTTTTGTCATTTATTTGATTTCATGTCTCAGTAGAAAGAAACTAGGGTAATTTAGTAACTCTTCCAAGTATAATATAGAAAACAAACCTTAAAACCTGACATCTATACTCATGCTCAGTATTTATCAAGCTCCACTCTTAGCCACAAACCCCAAAGTATCTCGCTCTCTCATATCTTCCACCTTCAAACTCTCACCACATTTAAAAGAGCATGAGCTACAGCAAGACCCATTACCATTACCAGTTCTTGCCTACAGATAAAGCATAGCTCCACACACTCTCCTCCCACCAATGCTCTTCCGACACCTGTTACGGGATCCCCATAATATCATTCTCTCCCGTACCCTAATTACATGCACGTAACTATTTGTCTCTCTCTCTCTAACAGGATGAAGGCCGTGCCCCCTATTCCACTGACCCCACCTTCTTCCATCTCCAGAAATGAAGGACCTCTCTCTAGGGTTTTCAAGGGCTGCCTTGGAACCCTAGACGCCAATTGCATAGAGAAGCTCCTCCTGCACTGTGGTGGTGCCCTAGAGAGAAACGACATAACCCTAGCTCAACAAATAATGTGGGTTCTAAACAACGTTGCTTCTTCGGTAGGGGACCCTAATCAAAGGCTCACATCTTGGTTTTTGAGGGCGCTAATTTCAAGGGCTTCAAGGGTTTGCCCTTCAGCTATGAACATGGAGGCCTCTCTTGGGGCTCACGTTGCCAGGGTTAGATCCATATCTGTGACCCAACTAGCTGGCTATGTGGATTTGTTGCCATGGCAGAGCTTTGGGTTTTGTGCCTCTAATGGTGCAATATGTAAGGCTATTGGGTCTTCACAAAGGGTTCATATATTGGATATTAGCATCAGTCATTGTATGCAATGGCCTACACTCATTGATAGCCTCTCTAAGAGGCCGGAGGGTGCACCCCTTGTTCGCCTCACAGTGCCTTCTACAAGGCCTCATGTTCCTCCTCTCCTAAGCATGTCTTATGAGGAGGTGGGTCATAGGCTGTCGAATTTCGCCAAGTCTAGAGATGTCCCATTTGACTTCAGGATGATTCCCTTTGAGGATTTGCCCAATTTGAGGGATGGTGTTAAATTTCACCATGAATTGCTTATGGAGCAGCTCAATCCATCGGTGCTTGATCTGAGGGATGATGAAGCTTTAGTGGTGAATTGCCAGAATTCTGTGCATTATCTTCCCGATGAGGCTTTAGGGATAGATCCTTGTTATAGAGACGAGTTCTTGGAGAGAATCAGAGGGTTCCATCCGACTATAGTTACGGTGGTCGACGAGGATTACGACCTTGGTCATGCTAGCCTTTCCTCAAGGATTTCCTCTTGTTTCAACTACTTGTGGATCCCCTTTGATGCTTTGGAGACATTCTTGCCCAAGGATAGTTGCCAGAGGCTAGAGTATGAGGCAGACATTGGTTTCAAGATTGAGAACATCATTGCCTTCGAAGGGCTGCAAAGGACTGAGAGGCTGGAGTCAGGAACAAGGTTGGTGCAAAGAATGAAAAAGGCCCAATTCTATAGTGTCCCATTCATGGAAGACACTGCTAAGGAGGTGAAGCGCTTGTTGGATGAGCATGCCAGTGGATGGGGGATGAAGAGAGATGATGATATGTTGGTGCTCACATGGAAAGGCCACAATGCAGTGTTTGCAACAGCTTGGGCTCCCCAGCCCTTTCAATAAGAAAGAGGAAGATATAGCTTCTTGTTGGGGTATCCAGGAAAGAAAATTGAAAGCTTAAGCCCCATTTCTTTAACTCTTTCTCTTAACAATAGTGGCTTCTAAACAGCCAAAATAATGGTTGATGATGAGTATGGTTTCTAGAAAAAAGTTCATGTCTCTCATGCTAAAGGCAAAGCTTTGTTGGCATTGAATTCATGAAACGTTATAGGAAGGGTCTTTGTATAGGAAACCCACTTCTGGTGTTGATAGTTCATGTACATAATCTTAAAAACTAAAATTTTAACATAAGTTTTAGGATACTTCGAGATGGATAAGAATGTTTAGGATGGAATTTTGTTAATAACAATCATTGTGGTGCTATTTTCCATCTCTCATCATGATTTTCCTGATCTATTTCAAGTAAAACAATTCCAAGACTAGCAACTCCAAGGGTGACCTCACTGGGTCGATGTAACAGCATGTAACTTGGCTGAAATACTGCTCCCTCTTAGCTGGCCTGGCTCACCAAGCCATATGCTCTTTTCGATGAAACATGGATCCATACCATGCTTTCTTCTTTGTAAACTAGAGTTCAGTGTTTGATTACGACAGGTTCCTAGCAAGAGACATCAATGGCATTGAATGTGACATGCTTTTCTCTCATCAAATTTGACCTCCTATATCTAAGCAGGCTGCTATCTCAGGATCAAAAGCCCAATAAGATCTTAAAGCTTAGCCAATTACACTCCTAATCATTGGATTCATTCAAAATTTTCCTGAACTTCGCACTCTTAAAAATCCTGATAAAAAAAGAGGCAAGGTTATGCATCATACACTCAGTTCGTCTGCCTCTTAGACTGATCCACCCACTTGTTCTCCAAATTCATGTGACGTTCTGTCACTTGTTCCAATGGTGCCAAGTCGAGGCCAAAGTATAAAGTTTTATAAATTAGTCTAGAGATACACTAGCGTTAGAAGCCATCTCCAAATTCTAAACCAAGCATAAATGAAGACCAATATGGTTTGGCCTCAATTCTTTCTGCGTTTTTAATACACTATATCAAAACCGAACTCTTTGCCAGTTAGCCAACATGCCTAACTCAAGACTAAAGGTTAAAGGGAGTTCTATATCTATTGCAGAGTGATAGATTATCAAGAGGTGAGAGTACTTTCTTCGTTTTGCGTATGCTTTACGGAACTAAATAGAACTTGGTAACTAATAGAAATAAAATTCAAGCAAGATAGGATAGGGTATATTACATGTAACAAGATAGGAAGGTGTGTATTATACCATTGCATCACCATTATATATATAATGAAAACAACCACCACAAATTAGTGTGGGGCACAATTATCTTTTCCAAAAGTTCCTTTCTCTGTCTAAAATTCTTCATGGTATCATGTCATCACCGATCCTCTCAGTCATCCATGTGGAAGTAGTTTCTCTCAATCTAACGCAGGTAGAAATCTCCTCCTTTATTTTATTTCTTATTTTTTATTTTTATTTCTAGATGGTTGGCATTACAACACCAATGGAGCTCCATATTACTCAATGTGATTGGATTTTGCATTAATAAGGGATAGTCAATAGCATTCTATAAAACTTGAAGATAAAAAAAAAATAAACCCATCCATTCTTGTCTAGTACTTCATACGTCCATCTTTGGTTTGCTATCGTTCTCATCCATCTTAGGTTTTCTATCTTTCTCATCCATCATACGTTTGCTATCTTTCTCATATTTATCAAAGCCATTTATAATTGTTCTTTTTCTTTTAGTTTCCCCACAACTCTTTCACATCTCCAATATCCATTTAAAACCACTCACCACTCTCACATCCTTTATATCCATCAAAACCCACTATCTCTTCCATTCCTAAAATCTCTAAGGTCCTTCTCTCTCTAAATCCATAAGGCTAGAGATCCATATTTGATCTTAGCGATCCAATGGGTACTCTATCGTCAATATCAAACTATCCCTATCCCTCCACCCTTAACATAGGAAATTTTGTGTCGATTAAATTAACACAAAAGAACTATTTGTTATGGGAAACGAAATTACTATAGTTGATTGAGAGTTGTGAACTTTTTGGATTTATTAATAGTGATTTCTCTACACCAAGTCAAAATATTTTCTCTCCAGATAGTAAGAGTAAAATCGAAAATCCAGACTACAAATTATGGCTAAAGTCTGATACTCTTCTTAAAGCCTGGATCATAGGGACACTATTAGCAGAGTGTCTCAGTCTTATGGTTGGCCCTATGACTGTTTGAAGATATTTTTCAGCATCTTGGGTCCCCGATGCTGAATAAAAGAGAGGCCAGTAAATAAAGGACATACAATGTAACTTTCTACAATCTCATAATTGCCCCAGAATGGGCTAGAATCTTCCCAAGGACTTCAAAAGTCCACCTACAAAATTTCGGCGCAATTTGACATGTCTAAGGCAGTGCAGACAAAGAAATAATTTCAGAAAAATCAGCCTCTAGCAACCTAAAACAGACCATGTAACTAGCACTCTATTTGCGGTCCGTCAAATTGCTGTGGGATTACCTCCATTGGATCAGGTATGGTCAAAAACCCCTAGGGGTCATGTTTCGGCTTAAACAAACGTTCCAAGACAAAGTTATGGATGAAACATTAAAAATGGGTAGGACACACGCTATTCCCGTGCGGCCTCCCTTCACCAATCTCCATTAAAGGAGATTGGTTTGCATAATCACAAATAGCAAATTTGAAGGCTCGTATCTCTCTCGTCTTGAGTCAGATCGCGCTCAAATTCCGTGTTCGTCTCGTCAAGACGAGTGTTTTGATATGTGGCACGCCCAGTGACATTGCCCGAGCTGGGAGAAAAACTTGAGAGAAGTTGGCGATTCGTGAAGACAGTTGTAAGAAAACCAATAGTAGCACGACCCACTCGAGCGACCATATCACGACGTTCGCTTTCCCAATCCCCATGAAACCAATTGCATCATGTACATAAGGTTTGAGGCAATGTCTGGTCCGAACCCCATGTATGATGAAAAGTTGAAATCAGTACATGAAGGTGTCATAGTTGCTATAGATTCCGGCCATCGGATTTCAGGATCCGGCCAAAAACCCAAGACGATGAAATCTTCGTCTGGGCACGAAATCAAGCGGCATTTGTTGCAACGTGATCGTGAAGGCATGCTCAGTGCAAATTAGCGAAGAAATCAAAGAAAAACATCAAGAACCAAGCACAATATCGATCAGAAGTCTTCAAGATTCATACAAATTTCAAGTCGCATGAACGTGGCCTAAAAACGTGATCCGTGGCTCGAAGTTGGTATCCAATCGATTTTCATGCCGAGCCCAATGAGAGAGTAATCATTTTTATCCAAACAGGTACTGAACCAACCCTGAATCATCCATGAAAGATCATGCACCTTCAACGCAGCAGCAGGGATTGTTTTCTAATTCCATGCATTGTTGGGCAGGGGTAAAATTGTCATTCATTTTATACCCATTTTTAGATTTTATTTTAATTCAATTAAATTGTAATTATCACCAATTAAGATCAATTTTGGGCAGCCACCGATATTTGGGCCCAATTCTATAAATACATGTTAAACCTAGTTGTAAAATGATCGCCCCTAAGTTTTCAATCTCATGAATAAAATTTGAGAGTTTCACAGTGAAATTGTGGGTACGTCTTGGAGAGAGAGAGAGAGGAGATAGAAGAAAAATTTTGGTACCCTTCGGTGAAGGTAACTTTCTCTCTCCTCCTCTCTTCGATCTTTTTCTCTCGCCTTCTCTCTTCACTATTTCTCTGTCCTCTTCCCTTATCTCTCTTTCTTTCCTCCTCTCTTCTCTCTCTTTCTCTCTCCTCCTCTCTTCTCTCTTTCTCTCTCCACCTCTCTTCTCTCTCCTCTTCCTTTACCTCTTTCTCTCTCCTCTTCTTTTAACTCTCGTTCTCTCTTTTTGAAGATATTTTTCAGTAACATGGGTCCCTGATGCTGAATAAAAAGAGAAGTCGGTCAATAAAACCTGACAAACAATGAAAATTTTGACAATCTCAGAATGACCCCAGAACTACTCAACATCTTCATAAAGACTCCAAAAAGACTTCTGCTAAGTTTTGTCGTATTTCGACATGTCTAAGGCAGTGCAGACTGAGAAGCAGTCTCGACAGAATCAGCCTCTTGCACCCTAAAATGGATCCTTATGACATGATCCCTATTCGATGTGTCAAAAAGCTATGGGACCATCGTCATTAGATCTGGCACGATTGAAAACTCCCAAGGGTGAAATTTCAGCTTAAACGGACACTCCAAGAAGAAGTTAGGGGTAAAAGATCAAAGCAAAAAAGAAGTTGGGTAAAAGACCAAAAAAGGCGGAGCTGCACACTATTTTCGTGCGGCCACCCTGCAAGTAATCACCCTTAAAGGGGCAGGCACGAATAGTGAATGGCGATGCTCAAATCTCACTCGTTCGAGGTCAGATCATGTCCAAATTTTGTGAGCGTATTCGTCTTATCAAGACGAGCGTTTTGATAAGTGGCACGCCTCGTGATGATGCACGAGCACGAAAGAAAGCTAGAGAGAAGTTGCCGATCCGTGAAGGAAGTTGCAGGAAAATCAACAGCAACACGCCTCGCTCGAGTGACCAAATCACGGCGCTCGAGAGCCCGATCAATATAAAACCAATTCTATCGTGTGCGTAATGTCCATGGCTATCACAGGTCTGAACGCCGCGCATGATAAATGTCAGATTTCGCACACGAAGCCGATGAAGTGGCTATGAATTATGGTGTTAGATTTCCAAATTCTAGCAAAAAGTTAAAAGTTGTGAGATCTTCGTTCGGGCAAGAAATCAATCTGTATTTGTTACCACGAGATCGTGGCAGCATGCTCAGAGTGATCCAGTGAAGAAATCACGGAAAAACATCAAGGAACGAGCACACCATCGATCCGAAGCTTGCAAGATTCATCCATATTTCGAGTCACATGATCGTGGCTTAAAAACATGATCCATGTCCTGAAGTTGGTATCAAATTGATCGCCATGTCGAGCCCTACAAGAAAACAATCATCTTTCTAATAAACGGGCACTAGAGCAACGCCGGATCATCCATGAAAGATCACGCATGTTCTAAGGCAGCAACAGGGACTGTTTTGGAATTTTCATAATTTTTATGAAGGGGCATATCAGTCATTTTGTTCCCTATTTTCCTATTTTATTTAATACAGTTAAATCTTAATTTTCAGCAATTAGGTCTAATTTTGATCAATCCACCAATGTTTGGGCAAAACTCTATATATATCACATACTCTCATTGTACGAGGACCGAATTTTGCATAATAAAATCTCCATCTTTTCTCATTGTTGGGTCACAACTTGATAGAGAGAGGGATAGAGAAACTTTTGGGACGGTACCCCTCGGCTTAAGTTAAATCTTTTTCTCTCTCTTCTCTTCTTTCCTCTCTTTTTCTCCTTCTTCTTCTCTTTCTTCTACTTCGTCTGAGTTTTTCGCAAAGGTTATGCGCGGCAGTGGCAGTGCTACACATGCCTATTTCTTTATTTTTTTCCCCATCTTG